GAAAGCGGCTGCGGCTGCGGCTGCAGCCAGCGAAACGAAGAGCTCAAGCACTCCGAGTGCGAGCACAACATCAATACCAACGATCGACAAGATGGTCGAGCCGATAATCCCCAACGATGAAGCCAGGCAAATGAAACGAGCGGCGGAGCCGACATCTGACGACGGGTCCAGACGAATGAAAAGAGCAGCTGCCCACAACAAGGAGGTGGAGCTCGCGCTGCTGGCCCAAGATCAAGATTCCGCCTCCTCCTCTTCCTCTTCCTCTTCCACTTTACTCGACTCGGTTGCCCCAATTCCGAGCGAACGTACCAACACACCGAAATACTTGAACGATCCAGAGCTGGGAAGCCAGAAACACGTCAAAGTGTGGGAGACTGTACCTCTGAGGTTCCCACCGCGGGATAGGTATCCGCCTTCCGCTCCCGACATCGCTTCCGACGATTTGCGTCTCTGTGCTATCGCGTTAGGTGTAGCTTCGCTAGGTGCTAGACCGACGTGGAGGCAAGGGTCACCTGCGGAAGCTCTTGCGGCGGTGAATCAGGGTCTGGATAGCATGGTCAGAAAAGGAGACGCGGTGCACAAGCCTCCGAGCGACGAGGCGGAGCAAGATAAGAACACCAGAGATGAAGCTCTAAAGATCATCGATGCGGATGGATATTGGAGCTCGGCGTCGGTGCATACTCGATATGGTGATGAATCGCCGGATTGGATGTTTGAAGATTCCAAAGTGAGTGGCGAGGCGGCTTGCCGAGCAATACATTTCGAGGCGACCCGGCTGTGCTCGGTCTGCCTCCGCGCGCTGATCCACCTTGTTGCATATTTCGAATCGGTCGCAGCGGCTAGAGTGGCTCGGCGATGCAGTGGTGGGGCTCGTAGCTCGCCACACTATCATGACGCGCTATCCAGATCTCAGCGTCGCTGGAGCCACACAGGCATGGGGTCACATCGTTTCCAACGACACATTTGGGCATCTCTGGGATATCGCCGGTCTGGAGGCAGTGCGTCTCAAAGTCGGGGAGCGCATCACATCGGAAGCTGTGCTGCAAGAGAAGCGCAGGCTGATTGATGCGGTCGTGCATGGACATGTGGATAGGATGGAGCATGAGGATGAAGTTGCGGATAGAAAGATGGGATGGGACGATGGAAGGAAAACACGCTTGGAGGACACGCTTGACGAGAGGGCCCTGAGGAAGCATCCGGCTATGCAAGCAGAGGCTCTGAATGCCAAGTTCAATCCAGTCCTGAGGCATATCGGAGACGGCAAGATGTCGCACGCAAGCAAAGCTGATCAGTGAGTGATTGCCATCTCGCACTCGCGCGATCACCATCCTCAGGAAATCTGACCTGACAAATTCCCAATGTCTTGGCCCTCCTTGGAGCAGCTTCGAAGCTTTCGTCGGTGCGATGCTCCTGACGCGAGGCTTCGATGCTACTTCTGCGTATTTATCGCCGCTGCTACTTCCGTGGGTAGAACGAATCTCTCTTTCGCCAGGTTTCCACGACAGGTATCGGACGCCTGCGGCCATGATTCGAGCCAAGCAGGCACAGAGGGCACAGGCCAAGGCTTTGGCAGAGCGCGCCGCGAAGAGTGGCTTGCTGACTAAGGTCCTCAGACGCGTGTTCGGTCCAATGCTTCGATGGATCTTCCCAGAAGTCTCGACGATCGTGCAGAAAGGGCGGCCGAAGAGATAGTTATGCATTTGCGTGGATTTGTGCAAGCAGTGTCAACAGTGTGGGGAAAAGTGATGAAAGAGTGCGACACGAGCGCGAAAGGTAGTGGTCCAGTGATCGCGTGCAGTGTCGACGAGACCCAAATGATCATCGGCTGATGCTCATGACCTCCAAAGATCGACTGAAGCCCTCGCTATCTTCTGTTGCGCCTTGCGCCTTGCCTTGCCGAGGAATGTCTAATGTTGCAGAAGGTCCCAAGAAATCTTGAGGAGTATTGAGCAGCTGCGCGGGGGATTCGTTGCCCGTGTCGCCCTCTTCCGCAGATGGCGAGTCCGAGGCCGAGGACTGCGAGTGGGTCGTGTCAGCGCTCCTGGAGGTGGTAAAGGAAGCGGGCAAGGCTCCTTGCTCAGGATCCAGACTTTGAGCTAGCGACGATTGATCTTCGTCTGCCTCGTTCTCAGCTTCCGTACCGCTCTCAGCCTCGCCCTCTTCCTGATCCGGTTCCATTCCCTCCGGTGCAACATCAGACCATTCTCTGTACAGCGGATCTATCCATCTGGAGCTGTGCTTGAGCCGGTAAGGATCGAATGGGAAGAATACGTCGAGCGTTTGTGGAGCATAGCCTCCCATGCCTTGCCTAGCAGTCCCACCGCCGTCACTGTCGTCTTGCGCGACGTCTGCGCCGGAAGCTTGACGAGAGAGCTGGTCCGGTCTGCTGCCAGTCGGGGTTCCAGGAGCGGACTGATTCATAGGCGTACCGCTCCCGCTTCCTGCATCTCGCAGCTCCATCCCTGGAGCTCTGCGCTTGCCTCGCCGCCTGTTGTTGCTCTCGATGATGCTCCAACAGAACAATAGACCGGTGTGCTGAGCGACTGCTGCGAATTGCCTGACGATCTCTGGCGAGCAATGTGCCAAAGGATTGAGAGGCGAGGTGATGGCTCTTTGTAGAATGTGCAAGCCCTCCGACCATCGCCAGCTCGCGTTGCCAATTGTCGACAGGTCCAGTCCTCCCGCATTCTCTTCATCTTCCAATGCGCTAGACACTCGAAGGTCTCTCCACCTAAAACAGAAGATGTAAAAAGCTGCTTGAGCGACAGAGTAGAATAGCGCGTGCTGTCCATTGATCCCTCCCGAAAGCTCCGCTTCGAGCTGCTTCCTTGCGTCAGAAGGAACCTCTGACGATTCTTGCATTTGTACTCGTCCAGTTCGCTCGAGATGACCCTCCAGAAAAGAGCAGAGATTGAGCATGACTGCTCGAGTGTCGCTTATGGAAATGTATCTCGCTCGGCTGACGAGACTAGCAACGTAGCTAGAGGCAGCTACCCTCATGATGGTTGGCTCGGATCCGGTCATGGGTTGCATGCTACCATTCGAGAGAAGTTGCTGCTCCGCCCCAACTCCGTAGATGGCTTTGCCCAGCAAGAATCCGAGAAGCAGGTCTGCGAAGTCGGCGTCCAGTGATGCTGCCCAGAAGACGAAGAATTGGACGTAGCGCGACTTGAAAGTTGGTAGGACGGCCCTTTGAAATACGCTCAGCAGCAAGTGAAATTGGTTCGAACGCAGAGCGGCGGCTCTCGCGGGAGATGGGGCATGACTGGTGAGATCCAAGCCTAGATCCGCCGATATCCCTGCTAAATCGTCCGCAGCGCTTTTGTGATCATCCTGTTGCATACGTGAGCAGCTCCCATCACCGCCTCTGGCTAGGTCTTCATAGTGCGAATTTCGATTCTCCAAATGCCTAAAGACACAACCCATCACTGCGTCCAGCTTGTCGACCAGCTCCCGGACTGTTTTTAAACGTTTTGCCTGCGCCGCTGTGTCATCCAGCCTCGAATCCTCCCCATCACTGCCGGACAGATCGGAGAATCCGTCGTCTTCCAAAAGCAAACCGTCCTCATCGTCAGAGTCGTCGTCGTCATCAGTGGCCGTGCCTTCCATCACGGACCTGAAAGGGTCATCGTCGTAAGCATTGGGAGCAGTGAAGGCTTCGTTCGGGTCGACGTCGTCATCCAGATCGTCTAGCTCCAGCTGAATTTCGACCTGCAACATGCATGAAGAGCGGAAAGTGGCGTCAGAGAAGGGCATGCGCCGCCTCGATCCACGCTATGCGCAAAGGACCCAGCAGCTAGAAGCCTCCCTGGCGACTCACATCAATCTGCATGCCCCTATCGACTACGCAACTCAAGACAGTCTCTGCCAGCTCGGGCGCATATTCGCACAGCTTGAGAGCGTTCGACACAAAGACGAGGTGCGCGACCTTGCCTTCTCGCTTGTGTGGAAAGCTCCTGACCAATAAAGGTGCCAATTGCGATGGCAAGGTTGGTATTAAGGAGAGCAAAGATCGGAGCAAGAGGTGAATGTGGTAGTAGGTGTGCTTGCGAGGCGGCAGTGGCTGCGCAGGGTTTGTTGGAGGCCGCCATTCTGACCCTGAGAAGGCGCATCACAAGGCTGTCACGATCAGAAATATTGCATCGCAGCGCCCAGCAGGCAGACTCACTGAGACCGAACCCCTGCATCGCCTTCTTGAGAACCGCTTTAGTCCATTCGCTCCTTGCGCTGACGAGAGCACAGACGAACCTTATCCACGACGCAGCAAAAGCTTCTGAGGGTGTGGTTGTCCAAGGCAGAGCAAGGATGGATTCCACCAAGTCGTTGTGCGTCCTGCGATCCAGATGGCTCGCAAAAGCTGAAACTGCTGAGAGCCAACTTGATAGGGCAGATATGGAGGTCGCCGATTTGCTGATGTTGCTGCCGGGATTCGCCAGACTATTTGCGCCGGCTTTGAATTGGCCTATGAGATCTTGATAAGGTCCCGCGTTGCCCTTTGAGAGTTCAGAGAAGCTGTTGGTGACGTATGAGATGTACATGCCCTTGCGATAATGAGACATGTTGGGCTGGCCAGCGCCAGATGAAGCTACGCCGTTCGAGCCGTCCTGACTTGGCCGCGAACGAGCCTTCATGCTGGAACGAGGGCTGGAAGAGCCCGCTTCGCCCAGTGAGCTCGCTTGGGCATTTTCCGTTTTCGTAGAGAGTTGGTGCAGTCGAGGAGGGGTTTGACGAGGTGCAGAGGAGCTTCCGACAGCAGCCAAGTTGGAGAAGCGAGCAGTTGGAAAGGGTTCACCAGCCAGCTTGGCGGAGCGGGGTGAGCTTGATGGCGCAGCCCTCTTCATCGTGCCGAGGTGTTGAGAGAGCGCGAGTTAAGAAACGGCACTTTGGAGACCAGAGTCTCTCTTTGCGTGGGTGGGGACGCCTCTGCTCGGAGCCTGGCACGATATTGCCAAATGTGGATTAGGAAGAGGCGTTCTTGCCGTGAATGCGAGTTTGACAGCTGAGATGTGCGGTGGTGAATTGTTCGAACGCAGCGATACAATGAATCAGGAGCAAGGCTTGCTTTCGGCCGCCTTCTCGGTGGTACTGAGATAAGCTGGCTCGATGAACAACTTCAATTGTGAATTATACAAACCGGAACGTTGTGCAATCGTGAACCAGAATCTCGAGTCCAGAACCATCAGCTGAGAGGGGCCATGACCTTCAGGTGCCTTCAGCAGCGCTAGGATGAGCAACACGAGGATCATCAAATCATCATCAGCAGCCGTGGAATCCAAATCACGAATCACGAATCAATTGAATCAAATGCAAATTCACCCACGCGCGCCTCGCGTGACCAAAAAAAAAATCCAAAATCAAAATCAGCGCCATCGATTTCTCGCACAAATGTTTGAATCACGTGAAGCGCGGTCGCATTTCTTGATTTCCGTCACAGCCCACACTCATCAGACTCGCCCTCAGGCGCGCGCGCGTACACAACGCGCATGCAGTCTGCTACCACGACACCATCGCGGGACGACACTCGCACAGCAACTTTTTGACCATCAGCTTCATCCTCCTCTTCATCCTGGCATTCAAGTCGGTCTTTTACGGCCACTCAACGAAGGTGCTCCCGCTTGTAAGATCTCCATCATCCTCATAGTCTTCATATCCTCGCAAGATGGCGTCAACCTCTTCGCTCGAAGTTGCTCGAGCGACACACGAGGAGATCGACAGGTATGAGTCCGCGCTGGTGGATCTGCTTCTGGTCCCCGCTTCAACACACAAAGAAGCGCTGACAAGGTCTCACAAAGCTAGCGAGGTGCTCGATAGGATCGTGGAGCGCGCGCACAATCTGTCCGAGTTTTACAATGGGAACGGATCAGCGAAGCGGGGGAGAGAAGAGGAGTTGAAAGATGTGCTGGAGGGACACCCAGACGATGAGGAAGGCGACGAGGCAGATGATAAGCCCATGGATCCTACCTTGAGAAACTTTTACTCGAGGTTGAAGAAAGTCAGAGAGTACCACGAAAGGTATCCTGGTGCACTACCCGACGCCTTCTCTTTGGACCTGTCAAGCCTGACTGGCGTGAGCAGGGAAGAGGAAGCAGCGGGAGGCGTCGCTGCTGGACCAGATTTCTTGGACCGAATGTTCAGCGGCGAAGAGGCGTTGGGCCGATATCTAGACTTGTATACACATCACGAGGCTTTCGTCAATCTCAAAGGCGTGAAGAGATTACCTTATGTCAAGTACCTGGGAGAATTTGAAAAGCTCGCAGGAGTCGAGTCCAGGGTGCCAGCAGAGACGAAAAAGAGCGAAGCTTACAGGCGGTGAGTACGTCTTTATTCCATGCTGGCAGATGCGGGATTGGGAGTCTGCTCACCGGCAGTATTCACTTGGCCCTCACCCCTGCGCAGCTACGTCGCCAACCTGTCCGATGCGCTCTTCACTTTCCTGCGACGGACAAGACCGACCTCGGATGTGGACTGGATTGAGCTATCTGCTTTGGCAGATTTCGAGGGGGACTGGGACGCGTGCAAAGTGCCAGGCTGGGAGGATCAGGGAAGTAGCCTCTGCAAGTCTGGTGCAGCTCAGAAGAAGCAAGCGCCCCAAAGTGGCGCTGTGGATGAGGGCATTTGGTGCGAGGCCTGTGAGTGGATCGTAGCCGCTGACTTGCAAAGGTCAATGCGCGCCGTTTCACACTTTTGACACCGCTGCGCGCTGACCTTGGCCTGTTCGTGTTTGGCTCTCGACTCCCAGGCAAGCGGACGTTTGCGAAGCAGACCGTTTTTGATGCGCACTTGAAAGGGGGCAAGCATCAGAAAGCAGCGGCAAATTTGGCAGCTGGCAATGCTCAGACCTCCACACCTTCGGGCGGCGCATCTGGTCCCAATGCGAGCGCGTCAGAAGCGGCTGCATTGGAAGTGGCGAAGCAGTTGGCCAGGTGTAAAGCGTTGGCGCGCACAGAGGTTTTGATACGTGCTCTTGCCTCCCATCTTGGAGAGATTGTCGCGGAGACGAGAGCGAATGTGGAGCGCAGAGCAGCTTTGACGGATGCCGAGAGGCAAGCCGAGGCGGAGGCGGCCGTGCTGGGCATGGAGGACTCGGGCGGATTGCCTACTGGCAATGGAGATGCCGAGCTGGCAGATCAAGACGCGAACGGAGACGACGAGAGCGATGACAAGATATACAATCCGCTCAAGCTGCCACTTGGATGGGATGGAAAACCCATTCCATACTGGCTCTACAAGCTACACGGACTTCGAGTCGAATATAGATGCGAGATATGCAGCGACTATATGTATCAGGGACCGTAAGTCTTTTCCTCATCGGCGTGGCTACTCCCGTCCTCCTGCTCAGTCTGTCTTGCCCCACTTCCCATCGCAGCAAAAATTTCGACAGACACTTCTCGGAGTCAAGGCATGCCTTCGGAATGCGCGCTCTGGGTTTGCCGAACACAAAACACTTTCACGGCATCACCAAGATTGAGGACGCCCTTGCTTGTGAGTAGTCTTAGCTGCCAATGGGGGCGAATTCACCCCGCTGCATGCCGCGCAAACGAGACTGAACGTTTGTTCGTTCTGATTTAGTGGCGGAGAAACTCAAGAAGCAAGGCAAGCAGCAGACGGAGGCGGAAAACGATGCTGAAGAAGTCGAAGATGAGCACGGCAACGTGAGTCACTCGGCTTGCCCTCGGAGCGTCCTGCTCATGCATGCGCGATCACTCACGAGCTGATCTCGCCTCTCTTCCTTGCAGACGTATACAAAACGGACGTACGAACTGCTGAAACGACAAGGCATCATCTGACTCGCATCGTGATGTCCTCGCGTAGTCGTATCTCTGCAATCCAAGCAATTTAACGCTTGCGTGCAACCCGTGACCGATTTTCGACCTCTTGAGTCTCGTCTTCCGCAAAATGAACCTCGAGCAGTGACTTCGCAACTTGTACTGCTGGTGTGGACAGTATCGCTTTGATCCGTCAGAGCACGGACCTTTGGAAGTGTGATCAGGCCGAAGAAAGTTCGGGATTCGTTGAAGAAGCCTGAAAAGATGGTTCAGTCCTGTCTTGAAAGTCACGTGACCCATCGCGAGCGCGCCTCCGCGATCCAGCGGAGGTCAAGATTGAGTCAACACGCGCGCGCAGTCGGATCTTACGATCGACTTGTACCTTTTAGACCCACTACTCACAAGCCCCACATTCTCCTGAAGCACTTTCGACGCCTGTTCACAAACATCCTCTTGCAAAGGCTGTGTGTAGAGGAAGACACCGAACGTAAGAAAAACGATTCGCACTTCACCTTGGCGCACATGTTCGCATCATGAAGAAGCCAACGTAAGAGACAGGATCGCGGCACAAAAATGGCACTAGCGGGTCCATCCAAGGCAGCACCTCCTTCTCAGTTGCGAGATCCGCTCACTTTAAGAGCACTTCATAGCTGGTCTTCGTCGCCTCTGACAGCCATCTTGTGCTCTTGCATCGAGGCGCGGGATCTGCTTTCGAATGTGCTCTGCGAACAAGAGGCGACACCTCTGTGCTTGCATTTGGGTCAGAGACCAACCAAGTTCGTCAACGTAGTGGGCATGTGCGTAGGCTGCGAGACACGAGAAGGATGGACAAAACTTTGGGGTGAGTCGATGTTTGCGCTGCATATCTGTGGTACTTGTCTCTCAGTAAGCTGCTTACTGATATTTGCTGGTGTCGGCAGTCGACGACGGCACCGCAGTGCTCCCTCTTCTTCACTACCACAGTCTTGTTATCGATGCAGAGGTGGCAGCTGAACAGGTCGAAGAGCCGGGTCAGACCTGCACAGTTCATACAAAGCCTGATGAGGGCAAGAAGCGTGCTCGCGATGCATCAATAGGGGATATTCACAAAGAGCATTTGGGATTGCTGCGCAACGCGCCGAAGCAAGACTGGGCAGGAGTGCCGCCAGAATACTGGCCTCGTGAACCGCCAAAACCTCCAAGCGGTAGCAAGACCGCTGGCAATCCAGACGCAGCAGAAAGAGAGCGGACTGGCGCTGCTGCAGCGGCGAGAGCCTACGTAGATGTCGGACATGTGATTAGGGTGTGCGGAAGGGTCAAACGCTTCCCTTGGGGTATTGGTCTTGAGGTGGGCAAGAGACGATGGGGCAATGGAGGAGGAGGAGGCTTCGTAGGTGAATCAGCCTCATTCTGAAGACCTTATCGGGCGTCAGGGCACCGCTCAATTGCTCACTCGATGATGTTGCCCCTCAGAGATCGTCGTTGACCCAAACGCAGAAGCTCGACACGTGCTCGCTACCATGACTGCTCGAGAGACCTACAGGAAGCCGTTCGTCATACCACAAGAAGTATCGCGCAATGCTGAACGATTGTCTCAAGCAACACGGCGACCACATTCCATTATTCGTAGATCGCTGGCACCTTTTGGCGAACATGCTTCATCGCACAAGACAAGGGACGCGCTCGCAAGAGATCTGACGCCTCCGCCACAATGGGGTGCTCGGCGACATCAGGTCGCATTTCTTGAGGCGGCGCCTCCGCGCTTCAACCCTTCTCGCGTGCAAACGAGCGCCAAGGGCAAAGTACGAGAAGGCAACTCCATATGTAGCCCGTTGAGGCGGTCGCTTAGAAGTCCGAAGAACGCGTTGGACATTCGTGAAGAGCCGAGACCGCGACGAAGCCCACAGGCAGGCAGGCGCAGATTGATCGATGATATGGATGACGTTCACACGATCCGTCCTATGAAAGAAGCAGGCGTAGGCGGGCGGACCAGGCCCAAAATATTGTGCGGCAACGGCAGTGTGCTCAGACCTGAAACACTCATATCCGCGGTGAGCACGAGCTCTACCTCCAGCCGACGAGGCAACAGACACCTCAAGCATCACTCCGCGCTACCAGACTCCAAGATCAACGAGGGGCTTTTCAGGCTGCACGTGGAGATGTGGATCACCAAGAGAGCTGCGAGTGGCAGCTCACCTGAGTCTCCTTTCACATCCTCCGATCTTCAGCAAGTGGCGGAACTGCGCGACCTCGCATTCAGATTAGTGCGAATTCTCCTCAGACGAAGACTGCGAAATAGATGCGGCAAGACGTCTGCGGACGCTGATCGCCTAGACACGGAGTGTGCTTTGTCCAGCGAGGAGCTGGAGAACAAAGTGCGTAGGCTATTCGACTGGACCCTTACCCAAATGCAAGAAGAGCGAAGCATAGTTGCAATTGAAGATCGTGGGCCCGAGCGTGTACAACAATGGAAAATGGCCAAGCATTGATCTGGGATGCCGCACTGTAATCATAATCCATGCCGTTCGTGATTGTTGCTGCGATGGTTTTGCTGTCTCAATCGTGAAGGGACGCATCCTTTGACGTCGTTATGATCTGTACTCGTCGCGTCAAATAGTCGATGACGATGCAATTAGACTCAGAGCGGACTGACTATTAGCGAATTTGCGACTCCACAAGGGTCTCTATAGCCTTGCCTTGCTCGCGTCAAGCCACACCTGTGATCTTCATCCGTTTTGCAATCACGAACCACAATCACAACGATCGTGAATGTCTGCGGGACGGCGCGTCGCCTGCTGCTGATGATGCTGCATGTGCGTGTGCAATTCGCTGATGCGCAGCTCCACTTTCTAACGGATGGTGCGCGTTCCTCTTTGAGCGCTTCCTTTGTCCAGCCGCGACCACAAATCCTGAACAGGCCTTTACCGCCGAAGGGTCACGAGCGCAAAGCCAATCAAGAATTGGATCCTATCGGACCTGCTCACCTCGCAATTAATCCCAACATCGCAACTCCATCACGAATAACGCGTTTGCGCTCTTCTTGAAGGCTCTCACTGAGCCTGGCCAACCTGCCTGCAAGAAGCTTGACCGCACTTTCGTCTAGTCGAAAGCGTATTCCCCCTTGCCCCACCCCCTCCAACGCCTCTAGTATAGTCAGTCTGCCGTTGGGCTTGCCCGACACCTTCACAACTCGCCTCCTGACACACATTCAGTATCATCATGGCACTCTCATTCGATCCCTACAGTGAAGACTTCGACGCGGCGTCGCAAATTTGGGCGGACGTCGTTCCGGTGCACCAGGATGATGGGCCCAACCCTCTGTGTCCAATTATGTACAGCCCCGATTGTGAGTGCATGCACGACCCTGTTGCGTATCGTGCTGAATCTCGCTGCGCTGAAGTTGATCACCGGGCGCTGCCTTCTCCAGACTCGAAAGCCATGGACCTTCTCAGGGCACTGCTACCCCGCGGCGAGCTGTCACTTCGAGCTCTGCAGTTGACCAAGCATCTCGCGACGCTCAATGCTAGCTCATACACAGTGTGGGCATGGAGGGCCAAGATTCTGAGTGCTGACGATGATCACTCCCAGGGAGGCTTGGGAGTGAAGGAAGATAGACTCAGGAGAGAGTTGGAGTGGTTGGATGACCTTTCGAACAGCATCAGCCTCAAGAATTATCAAGTGTGGTGAGCAGCTCGTGCCCTTGTGCGATGACGCGGTATCTTCACTGGTCTCTAAAGTCTCTCTCCCTTTCGTTCATGCGGTGGTCGGTACACAATGCAGGCAGCACAGAAGACAGATCCTAACCATGCAGCTGCGACCAGATCTCAGCAAGGAGCTCGCATTCACGGCCGAGATCTTCAAGGACGACGCAAAGAACTACCATACCTGGGCCTATCGGGCGTGGCTGGTGTCGCACTTCGGTATGACTCGCGTAGCTGCTGCTGAACAGCCAGCAGCTACGACTTACATCGATGAGATCTGGAATGCAGAGCTCGCTTTCACCAGCGAATTGATTGCAGATGACGCGAGGAACAACTCTGCCTGGAACCACCGGTGGCTAGTTCTGTTTGGCAGTGCGTGGGCGAGGTCACAAGGAGCCGGGCGATATGTAGGTGCAGACCTGGAGCATGTTGTGACCAATGAATCCAAGTAAGTCGACCATTGGCTTCGAGCAGCAGCTCGTGAGGAGGTGGCTGAATGCGCTCGATTGCCCTGTGCGCGGCTGCTCAGCTTCGCTCAATCACACATCGCAAGGATGCCCCACAACCAAAGCGCTTGGACATACCTGCGAGGGTGAGCATCGATGTTCTAGGTGATAATCCAGCAGCGCCAGATTGACATCATCTTTACTTTTGGTGACTTTAGCCTGGTCAAATTGGCACCTTCTAGCAATGCGTACGCTCCTCATGCAGATTTGGCGAGACAAATGCTCACGCAAGTCAGAAGCTCGCAAGAAGATACCGGGGCACCCCTCATCGAATGCCCGCCCGCGCTGGAGTGGCTTTTGGACGAAGCGACAGCGCGATTGGATGTCGCCACAGCGCTCGATGTGAGTAAGCTGAGCTCGTCTGCTAAATTCGTGCGCACGGACATGCTCGACCTTGTCCCGCAAAATTGACTTTTTGTTCGGTACGCATCTGCCTCGATTGCAGCTTCTTTACAGATTGGCAAAAGCGGATCCCATCAGACGCAAAATGTGGGACTGGAGAGGCAAGATGATTCAAAGGAACGCCGCTGGCGGTGTTGGACTGCAGTCTGGGCCGGCGCCTGCCAGGGTCACAGCTAGCTAATGGCTTGAATCGGTCATCGGCGACCAATTGCCTGCCCTTGCCACTCTCCGCTTCATGAGGGGCGCTTGTATTCATGAAACTAGCACCTTGAAAAGGCGAAACTAGCACCTCGAAGAGGCTTCACTGCGCGTGTATGCTACGTACCATTCCACGCCCGCAGGACATACTAATCAATACGCGAGCATGGCCAACTCCTTTCGTTAAGCCATTCCACCCCTTCGAGAGCCTCGTGCGCTTTCAATCGCAATGGTTACTCAGCAGCTTGGTGCGAACGCTACTGACTTTCTCTCATGCAAGTCGCCATCATCTGATTGTCATTATTGCACTTCTCGGGTCTGTTGAAGTAGCGGAGCCGGCGCCCGTAGGCGTATCCCGCTGCCTGACAATCATGATGAGCTGTGAGAAGGCAAGAGTCCAAAGAGAAGGAGCTGAATGCCAGCGGTCTTGGGCGTCTGTGCTCGTGGGAAGGTTTCGCAGGGAGTGATGGTGTGTAGGAGTGAGGATGTACCCCTCTCTGAAGATGGAAGAGGGTGATGGGGCTTGATTCGCTCAGAAACCGTGCACTTTGACGTCGGCTTTAGGAATGGAAATCTCTTCGATCAAGAAGCTTGCAATCTTTTGACGTTGATCTCCTTGCAATTGGATCACTTGTCCCATCTCCTCGTCATCGACCAGAGTGCCGTTGCAGGCGAATTCTTTCTTGAATGCTTTGATCAGCTTCTTGCTGTCATACTCTGTGGTCATAATCAAATCGTAGATCAAGCGAGTCTTTTGTGTCAGCAAGAGCAACAATTCGCCAAAAGTGGCCAATTCGTCCCCAGTCCACATCCTACAGGGGTGACGCCACCGAAGCGCAAAGGTGGGACGACCACAGCACCGGTCCATCGCGATGCTAGCTGGCACCACGCTTTCAGCTAGTAGTCACCCGAGCAGAGCCGTCTTCGTTCCTTCGAGTCGCTGCCAAAGCTTGCACCACATGCCTTTGACCGCGTATTCCAAGCCATGGCTCACCTTTTGGCAGGCCCTGAAGGGTTGTCAAAGTCTTGCGTCCATTACGCTGCTGAATACGAATGTGGATGTACTTGTCTGCACCTTTTGCAGCGGTAGCAGCTTTCTTCTCGGCGGCCTCTGTATCGACTTGTTTTATCTGGTCTTCGCCAGTATCGGCGAAGGGGTCTAGTATACGAGAGAGGAGGCAGTCGTGTGAGCCTGCGCAACTTGTGGAGTGGCGCCGACTTCGGCGGTCCGCATTCCGATTGGCATCCCTTTTGCCTTGTCCCCTCTGTCTACCACCACCAGCACGATGCGATGCTGCCAATCGCTTTGATGCCTTCTTGACATCATCATGCCCTCTAATCGGCCGCCCACTGCAAACACTCACCGTAGCTGTTGAGGTTAGCGAGGCTCATAAACGCGCTCTTGGTGATTGAGCTGGTGGTAGGAGTTGTGAAAAGCGAGGCACTTCTGCTTTGCTTTGAGACAAGTCTAGGGACAGGGTTAGAAGAGCTACGCTGAAGAGGGCTGGTGGGTTTGGTGGGAGTCAGAAGGATAGGCACATGTGCATCACGATCGAATGTCGATCCCTTGCGCGGGCTCAGGCCTGGCCCTATGTAGAGGTCAGACGACTCATCCATCAAACCAAAGTGGCGCAGCCATGCGAGCCACGGCCTGTCTTGCGGCTAGACGCGTGCAGCCGGGCGTAGAAGAGGTGCGCTCGTAAAAAGAGCGTACGCGTCTCTCGAAGGTGTATCTGCCACGTGTCTCTCGCTCATCTCGTCTCTCTGTTCACGCGCCCCCGCGCGAGGATAAGTAGTTACGCAAAAGCCGCATCCCCCTTCTTAGCAACTCATACTTACCTTGACCTCTCATTGGCGGCTCAAGCATCGTCATGGGGAGCGGGGCCCTCCACCATCTGCACAGCGACCCGTTTTCGTCTTCAGTGGAGGGACCCGCCCGTCGCTCTCCTTTGGGGGGCGACGGGTCGGCATATTTGCAACTGTCAACGCTTCGCTTCGGCGGGGCGTTGACTTCTCTTTTCGTCGAATGCAATGTCTATCGAGAATATTCTTGTCTTCGATGGTGCTTCTCGTCGATCACTTTCCCTGCACTTGGCCGACCTCGCAAACCTTCCTGATGACGTCTCAAGGCTCGTCGCACTTGTCAACCTCGCTCGAGACTTGAGAATTTTGCGAGCCCCAGACCATTCAGCAAGAGGACTTTTTGAGACAGACTAAGCACGACTGCTCGTCATGACGGTGTACAGGTCTTGACGACCCCGCAGTCAGGACACGAAACATCTCGTGCGGCATGGCACATCCATGCTCGCAAAGCTGATCACGATCTTGATAGATTTGTCACACAATAGAGAAACGGCAGCAAGTCGAATTATTAAGCATGTACGGACTTGAGATTCCATCGACTCTGTAGAGAAGACGAGAGAGTCGATGAGTGTGCTCTGATGTCCGCGCGGACAACCTGACCGTAAAGCCAAGGTGCGCGAGGGGCTGGCGAGCCTCCCTGGTGTCGCTGTATTCTGAGCTGTCGTCTGACGCTCAACGCGACCATGTGTAAAGAGGCCCAGAGGCCGATCAGCGCGAGCAACACGTAAACGACGCTGTGCCGCATTGAGGAGGTGAAACAAGTTGGAGATCGGCCTCGTTGAGCGTATTCATTGGCTGGCGGTGCGAGGCGCGCAATCGTGTCCTGCGCCACGTGGTCTGATAACGCGCAGCAGGGGATCAAGACCGCCAGAAAAGTTCGCCTGCGGCCCGCGCGCGCGCGTCCGCACAGCTCATATATTGGTAGTCTCGGTCAGCCAAGACTTCATCACGCTCACCATCGACACCTCAAATCGCAACGACCTTTCCACCTCTAGACATATTTCAAAATGGTGCGCATTCTGTTGGATTTGTAGCCTCGACGCATCTAGCACGACTTTACGAGCATGCTAGTCGATTCTGGGTAGCTCCTTCAAGATGGCATCGTCACCGCTGCTCCGCAACGACTAGTTGCGCAACATGCCTTCGTGCCACACTTCGTTGCGCATGCGATGCCAGCCACCACTCGTGCGGAGACATTCACACCCAACTACTTTCAAGCGATACCAATGGGCAGTCTGCTGCGTCGTTGGTGAAAGCTTGGTGGTGGCAGGTCGATGATGCCCTGTGGTGTGCCTTGCCGAGGACGACCCTGGGCGCAATTTGCCTCGAGCATTTTGCTGCCGTCGTACCAATGACGCTTGTTTTGGGGAGGTGCTGGTAGCCGCACAGGTCACAGACCCGCGTGCGTGCACCCACCTACTAGAGCTCCGAGGTCGTCGATCCGAGAGATGTCACTGCAAAGCGCTTCTGCGCTAAGCATGATCGATCTTTCTGGATTCGTCTTTCTCCTCGTCTCAATGACCCCGTCTGACCTTTTGGTACCTCTTGATTTTCTTGCCCCGCAGCCGAAGGCACCCGCTACCAAGTCATCCGCCGCTAGCAAGCCCTACGCCAAGGGTGGCAAGTCCAAGGCACCCAAGGACCCACGCTTCGAGAAGCGCACCCGTCACTTCGGTATCGGTGAGTACACTGCTTCCTGTCTGAATGCGCGCGACGTGCCTGCTGATCATGGCGCTCCCTTGCATGCATATCCGCAGGTCAACACATCCAGCCTCCTCGTGACCTCACTCGCTTTGTCAAGTGGCCCGAATACGTGCAGCTGCAGCGTCAACGCGTCGTCCTTCACCAGCGTCTCAAGGTGCCCCCCGCGCTCGCCCAATTCAGCAACACGGTTGACAAGAACACTGCGACCGCCATCTTCAAGCTTTTCAACAAGTACCGCCCCGAGTCCAAGCTCGAGAAGAAGGAGCGTCTGTCCAAGGTCGCCTCCGAGATCGCCGCTGGTAAGAAGGATGCCGCCAACGTCGGACCCAAGCCCATCCACGTCAAGTACGGTCTGAACCACGTCGTTGGTCTCATCGAGGCCAAGAAGGCCAAGCTGGTCGTCATCTCTTCCGACGTCGATCCCATTGAGTTGGTCGTCTTCTTGCCTGCACTGTGCCGCAAGATGGGTGTCCCCTTCCTGATCCTCCGCAATGGCAAATCGCGTCTCGGTGCTCTCGTGCACAAGAAGACCAGCGCTGTCGCTGCTCTGACCGACGTCAAGAGCGAGGACCAGCGTGAGCTTGCCTCCCTCGTCTCTGCTGCCAAGGCCAACGAAACTCCTCAACGCTCTTGGGGCGGTGGTTTGCGCGGCAACAAGTCTGCGCACAAGATGGCCAAGCGTGCTAAGCTTGCGGGACAGAACGTCGTGGTTCAGCCCACTGCTGTTGACGACGAGTAGATCAGCGCGCTGGCTCAACCTTCTGACCTTCCGCGTGTCCGCTCTGGTTCCTGCCCGTCTCCGAGTCCTCGCATGTCATCTTCGCACTTCACCAAAATTTCGTTGCGCCGACAGGTGCTCGCACATTTCATGTCCACCAAGCCGGGACCACGACGTGTCCCACCCCATGCCACGATCACTTACCGCAGCGCTTTGCGCCGAGGCGTTGCAATCGAAGCCCTTTACTAGCGCAGCTAGTAATGTACCATCAGCCTTTACCTCTTGTGTGGATCGAGCGAGAGTGCGAACGGGCCCCTAGCGTAAGCTGCGACCGTGTGCTTCGTCGTTCTTTGTTTTCAGGCCATACGCATGACTTGCAGTCGCTACGGGCCGGTCACAAGCACCATCACTGCGGCGGACCTCCGCTCACTGGTGACTGGTATGATGATTGCTTACTGTGCTTGATGGGAGTACATGTTGGGAAAGGACTCTTGGAATGGGCGGCGGACGTGGAGGAGTCATGAGGAGGACGAACCAGGGGTTGAAGCATCGAGGAAAGGAAGAAAGCACATGTATTGTGCAATGTGACAAGACGACTGGGAAGCGTAGACTTCAGCGGCCGAGGCGAGCCGATTCGGCACGCTAGATGTCCACATAATCGCCATTCTCTCTGCCTTGGTCCAGCGCATCGCCATAGCCGGCGCCGTAGGAGTAGCCTTGAGGGGCATTGGCATCGAAAGAATTCGCATTTGCCGAATGTCCCGAAGCGGAGCCAAAGCCTTTTGCTTGCAATTCATTTCTGAACTGATTCCTGACCTGGCCCACTTGAGAGATGAGGTTGTTGCATCCGTTCAAGATGGCTTGAGAGGGAGAAATGCTCCCGTCCGTTTGAACCTTGATCACCACCCGAGGCTCGAGCGGATGAGGAACCCTATACCCGCAAAAGATTACACCCGGAATCACGAGAACAGCATGACGCAACATGTTGCCCATCGTGTGATCTTCCTTGTTCAATGTGAACGTGGCGGCGTTGGCTATTTGAGGATCTTCGGCTACGTCCACTCTATGCTCGTTCGGACCCAGGATGAAGAGCGCAAAGCGATCCGGCGCGTTCGCCATGATGACGTGGCCAGAGGAGAATCTGTGGCAGGTAGTCTATCGCGCCAGAGCTAGTTATACGAAGGCCAGATCTCAAGTCAGCTTGGGGGGACGTGCGCATCACATGGCGTTATGGATGCACGCCTGCTATGTCCCACGAGCAAGCCCACCGACACCTTCCTTCGCCCGTGCTTTGCTCATCTACCGTTGTAGTAATGGATCATTGAGGGACGATACAAGGTTTCCTCCATGAAGAAGTGCACCTGTTCGCCCTCTCAAACAGTGTGAATAAACTTTGTAATCCTTGCAAAGTTGTCCGACTCCTATCGCGTCCTGCTTGTACCCGTACCCGGCTGTGGGCTGGCCACCGGCCCTTTACCGCGGTTCACTTCTTGGTCCGGACACTGCGGTCGAGCACTCACAGGATGCGGCTCGTGGCTGATCCCTGCACGTTCTAGTCCTTTGCGTGTGTTTCGAGGTGATCTGGCCAGTGTGCAGGTCGACCAGGACGAGCGTCAAGTGCGATGGTGCCCGAGAAGGAGTGAGCCGGCCGGCGAAGCGGTCACTGTGACGAGTGCGACTCTTACGTCCCCATGAAAGCGCAAGCTTGGTGTCAGCAGAGGATGCAGAGCTTCTTTGAAGTGAAAGATGATCCCGAGGAAGCTGGGTTGTATGAGAGCGTGGGTGACCCGAGGTGGATGAGGGAGCTGAACTGAGCATAAGCTGGTCCTGCATGCGCGCGAAGAAGGCGCGATCGTCACGCATTTTCTTGAATCGCGTCTTCTTCTGCGCGCCATGACGGCCCGCCTCCACGTGGGCGCATGCACCTCACATCGGACGGGGTTAGCCTAGCAACCGTGAGTGAATATGGGCAACAAAGTGTCCAAAGTCGCAAGTCGCCTGAATAGTCATGCTGAAGCTCGTCTCTCGACTAAACCGTCAGCACACAGCAAGGCCTAAGAAGCAAAGGCTGCGCTGAGTGCAAACGCCGAATCATTGGAAGGACAGCGCATTCTACCTGGACTCGAACGAAAGCGATGTCGAGCGGGTGCCTAAGACCAGAGCAGAGGAGATGAGGGCTGGCCCGAACACCTGAAGCAGTCGAGGAGTCACAGACTCTGAAGTGCGTCAGCGTCTAATCTAAAGCACCACGGACAGGCTTTGCCAAAGACGTAGGCGTCCACGCACAGAAGATTTGGGAACCTCAACGATGACACTACGCGACCAACATTTGTTTCAAGCAAGTCATTCTTTGACTCATCGATTTGAACCTCGTACTACATAGCCAAATTGAACCAAGGTGTAGCAAAAAATGCCGCTGGTCTCTTACTCGTCACCTTCTCCATCACCCGAGCCTGACGTGTGTGTAAACAAGCAGGGCCAATCTGCCACGGCACCATCTCCAGTCGTCGAGACGCCAAAGCCTCCGCGAACATCCACGTCCGAGCTCGAGCAGCGCCCTCCTGCTCGAAAAAGGTACGTGCCACGGTACTTCAGATATCTTCCGAGCCCACACACTTACGTGAAGCATTGACTCGACTCGAAAGGCTCAAGGCACCCTTTTCGGAGCGGAACAAGGAAGTGTTCAGTCGCTCAAAGGTTCTACAAGACCCTTTGGCTGTGCCGGGCCTGTGGCCTTGTTATGTGTACGCACCCAGTGAGTCATAGATCCATTCCAGAACAGTCTTCAAGCGCTTGACAACTCGAGCAGCGTCACTGACCGATGATGCATTCGCGACCATCATAGCCTTTGACGAAGTCGATAGCGCTTTAGGACGGGTCGTCACCATCCTTTCCAAAGCTCGCAAAGCATTGGAGCACCAATTCGGCAGTCCCAAAGAAGCACAGCACCAAATCTCGTCCGTTGTGTCGAACGCATTCGGAATGGAAGGCGAATCGGACCTCCGCTTGATAGAAGCGCCGCATGTGTCCCTCTGCCGTGCCACGCCCGTCGAGAAGCGTGAGCGATCTGCCTTTGCCGAGGCAGCTCGGATTGTCGCGCAACGTACAGCACCGTGAGTTACAAGAATGAGGTCTCTCTTCGCCTCCAGCGGCAGGGCCCACGACTGTCTCGATTGACACCATGTATTTGGGTCCAGCTTCAAAGTCTCTTTTGCGCGCTTCTGCGCTCTGGTCAACGATCACGAGTCTCGCATCTTTTTCGCCATCGAGGTTGGTCAGGGGCACGAGACCGTGAGTATGTTGGATAGCGCACTCGCATACACAGGCGCTCTGTTGACTGATCAATTCAACATCATCCAGCTCCGCATGCTAGCGAGCCAACTTCACATCGCATTGAGGCCTTTCGGTGCACAATGTTACTACGACACGGGTGCGAGTCGAAGCACCTCGCGGTACTTTGCATCTGCTCATCTCGAGCAAGGCCTAAGGACACCTCGTTTTCATGCCTCTTTCGGTAGCATTGCTCTGCCTCTTGGAGGGAATGCGAGACAGAGCCAGCAACGCGAACCGGACGCCTCGCAAGTTCAACCTTGTCGCTCAAGCGAAGAGGTGCAGAAGATAGCTCATGAGGTCTGCCACAAGCTAGACCAGTCCCTGGGCAAAGATCTGCGAGACTCGTCGTTGAGCGTTACGCGCATCGTCGTTGGCCTGGGCGACACGGCACGCTGGCTAGAGTTGAAGAACCAGAACGGCTAGCCCGGAGCTTCACGCTCCCACGCTCCAGGAGAAGTGCACTTGCGCCCTGTGCTCACTCGGCGTGCGCCTAGAGGGCGCATGGAACGGGCGCGTGAGGATACACAGCCATCACCCAGCACGATCTCTAATGTGAGGCCACGTAAAATGGTTTGCATTCAGAACTGGTGACAAAATGCAAGCACACAAGCGCCCAAGAAGAAGCTTCAATTCGAGCAAGTGATGTGGTTCACCCGAGCTGGAATTCATCAGCTGCATGAGCACCAAGCACGCCTCCCTTTCTGGTTTCCCTACCCAGAGCTCTGACCTTGGCGTACATCCTCGCCTCGGCGCTGTTCGTTGGCACGTCCTTGGTCGGAGCATCAGCTTTGGGCAGGCTATGTCTCGCATGTTTGCGAGCGGCCGACCGGGCAAAAGCAGCTGGATCGTCCGAATCTTCCTCCTCCTCTTCCCTAGGGCCATCGCGCGCGTCCTCTCGTCCCGACTTGGCCAAGTCCTGCGCTTTCTGCTGCATCTTTTGGATCTTGTCCTTTCTATGGGCTTCTTCTTTCACTTCGAGTTTGCGCTTCTTGCTTGTGTTCAATTTGGACGCAGATCCGCTGCTTCTCGCTTTGGCCTTGATTGTTGCAGGCGCTTCTCTGAGGGCAAACGCTTTGGCCAAATGACCCAACTGCAAAGCGCCGATGGAAAAGATGTCCTTGTTAGAAGCTGGATGTGTCGCGTAAGCCCTAATGTGGGACATGAACGCCGAGCGCGCCATTGTCGAAGCCTGCCGAGAACGTCCGGAAATATCATTCAGCATGGTGCAGAGCTTCAGAGTAACGTTTGGGACGCTTTGCGGTACTCACCTTCTCACTGCTCATGACCCAACGCTCAAACGCCAATTGCGCATCCGTAGCCCGGGCCTCATACTCGTCGCCCCTTCCCCCGAATCCGTTTCTCAAAGTCGACCTCGGATCCGCTTCGTGCAAATGCTTCTGAGCGTCTTTAAATTTTGCATCGCCAGAGCGCATATTCTCTTCCAGTCTGGACACAATTTCTCGCTCGTGAGGGAGTAGCATCAGCCAGCTTTGTCCGTTGCGACCTGCTCTCGCAGTTCTGCCAATCCTATGCAGGTACTCGTCTGCTCCCGAGTCGGTCGGCGGATCAAGTTGAATAACGGTGCCTACATCGGGCAGATCCAGCCCTCGAGCAGCTACAGACGTGCAGAGCAAAATTGAAGCTTTGCAGGCGCCACCGTTGGAGGGCGCATTCTTCGAAAAAGTCCTCAGACTCAATATGCGGTCCGCTTGAGGCATCGAACCATGCAGGCGGTACACTCGCGCATCAGGCAGGAGCTGACAAGTCTGACCAACGATTGAGTTCGGTGTCCCTGCGTCGCTCTCTGTTGTGGACCGCTCCTCTGCACCATCTTGTGTATCCATGTTGACTCCACCCATGGCGTTCCAGTGCAAGTCGACTGAGTCTGTGCAAGACATGAAAACGATGACCCGTCGAGTAGCTGCAGGCGTCCCATCAGTCGAAGTAGCGCTCGAGATGGCTTTGCGCAAAAGCGCTAGTAGCATCACAAGACGCTGCTTGGTAGGCGTGATGACAAAGTGTTGGCGAAGCTGAGCTGGAGCAGACAAGGTTGCTTGAGGTTGCGCCTCCGTCTTGGCGATTGCAACGAGATCGGCCTCCGAAGATGTAGAAACGGATCTAATTGCCAAAGGTGCTGAGGCGTCTTTTGGCTCGTAACCGTCGGCCAAGGCCCTGACGACGATGGGCGTCACCAAAGCAGTGCCTGCAAGTACCTGCACATTTTCGTCCAATGTAGCGCTACACAACACTGTCCTCCTTGGAGCTTTCCACCACTGTATGCCCATCGCGTCGGTAGGCTCGTCATTCGCTGCGCCCCCATTCTCCAGCATGACATTCCTTGCTGTCTCTCTGGCCAATCTTCTACGACCATCCAGAGCCCGTAGTATGGCGTCCAGGGTCTCTTTGAAGCCCATCTCGAGCAATCGATCGGCCTCGTCCAGCACCAGCCACTGAAGCCTACCCACGTCTAAAGTGCTGGTGTTCTGTAGATGATCCAGCAGGCGACCGGGAGTCGCGACGATGATGGGTAGTCCCTTTCGCAATTTGGACTTCTCGTGGTTCTTGGTAGATCCTCCTGAAAGCAAGCCGGGTACAATCCACCTCGTGCGGCGGCGCGAAGGGTCTTGCACACCTTCAACAGCCTCCTCTCCAGCCATCGCGGCTGCTTCGCGGTCATCGGTCCTGTCGCCACTTCGTGCACTCAAGTGCAGAGCCAACAGCTTCTCAGCCACCTCGTAGATCTGCCTTGCCAGCTCTCGTGTGGGAGCGAGGACGATAGCGAGGGTACCAACGTTCCTGTCTATCCAGCTGGCAGCGTCTGCGCAGAGGGGCAGCAAGCTCTGCAGGATGGGCAAGAGGTACGCCAGTGTCTTTCCAGATCCCGTCTGCGCATGAATCAAGACGTCCTTCGCAGTCGCCTTGTCGTACGTCGGAAACGCTTCGGAGGAAGAGGAAGAGGACATTAGAGCTGGCAGTGCGGTCCTCTGGATAGCTGTAGGTCTCGAGCCTATATCCATCCTGCCAGAGAGATGGCGCACTATCAGCGGATCGAGCGCCAGACCCGAGAAGGTCGAGCTGTCAAGAGGGGCGTTGGTAGGCCTGGCATTGCGGACAGGTGTGGTTCCCTCGGCGAAGGTGTGACCATTTGGTCCGCTGCTAGCGTCACCCGTGAAGAGAGAAGATACGATGCCGGCCCCACTTCCGCCACCAGGTCTGCCTGCTCCGCTGCCTAGCTGAGAACCTTGAGGACGAGCAGACGCGGACGCAGCCGCAGCTGTCTTGATCCTTCGTCTACCTGGCCGTTCCGAAAGGTCTGAAATGTCATGTTCGGCACTGAGGCCATTAGCTCGGACACTTCCTCCCGCATCCGAGAGACGAGGGCGCTTGAGAGCTGGTTGATCAGGTCGAGAGCTGAAAGGGGGGTGTGCCGCGAGACTCGTCGAGGGAGGAGCCGATGCACTTGATGAGGCTGCATGCTGTGCCCAGCTTTGAGACGCTAAAACGGAGGTGTCTGAGCTCATTGAAGCATCGCCGTTGCTCTGTCGTTTGGCATGAGGCGCTCCACTTCGAATTGCTCGAGACTGAGCAGCACCTTTCCTGACCTGCGTGCGACTGGCTCTGCTCACAGGCTGTGGGGCCGCAAAGTTCATGAGCAGCCCATCGTCGTCCATCTTGTCCAGTCCAAGGACTTGGCGCTCCTCGGACGATCAAACGAGACTATTGTGTGTTGGCGGGAGGGTGTTGTGGAAGAGGGCGGGAATAGGTTGTGGATCGTGCACGCATACTTGCTAGAGCCTCGAGAGTCGCGAGTCAAGAATTGGTACAGAGCTGCATCGCTAGCACGACGCGGCACAGCATGCTCCGCGCAGTCGAAATTTCAAAATTTGGCGCGGAGAGCCCGCTGTGCGCGCCTTTCCGCACGAGAGAGCTCGCTGCAACCAGCGACGCATGTCTAGTCAGTGTGAGTCAGTGGGGTGTGTGCGCTTTCCCTGAAGCCGCAAATTTCCACTACCTTTCGATGATGGTCAGGAGAAACAATCAAAGCGCCACCCACAACATGAATCCAGCACGCAGAGACCATCTCCTCGAGGCGCGCGCAAGCTCGGAGGGAGATGCAGATTGCTGAAAAGAAATGAGGTGACATGATGCGAAATAGATAGCGAAAGTCAAATGGGAGGGTATCACAGTTCAGCATCCATGGCCTCTCCTACGGCTTGCGCAGCGCTTTGTGGCAAGCGCTGTATGAGAGAGCTGAAGCATGTGGACAGGAAGATGGTCTCGCTCTATTGTCAGCTTGCGTGCTCTCTAGAAGGTACGTTTGAGTATCCCACTTCTACCACTCACGAGAGCTTGCTCCTGGCAACCTTGTCAGCCATGACGCGGGGCACGTAACGCGTACTTTCCCTCACGTATCCCGCCGTGACGAGTCTCGATAGAGTCTCAAAAGCGAGTGCAGGCGCCTTTCGCGCACCCGCAAAATTCCACAGACCTTCCCAATCTCGCAGAACAATCAGAGCAGAAACCTTGATACTTCCAAATCTAGCGTCCGTCAATTTGAAATCGCTTCGAAGCTTTTCCGCACGTTTGTTGTCTCCTCGAATCAGCAGCTGGCGGATCGTCTCAGCCAAACTACATCCGAGCCAAGTGGACCGGCCGTTCTCCTCTCTCTCCATAGCAGCTTGGAATCCAAGCAGACGTACGTCTTCCTCCGCAAGCTGCAGAAGGAATGACGAAAGGGCGCTATGAGTCAGTAAATCTTTGCGCCAATCCTCCACTCGCGCACGTGAACAAATTCACCTTGGCTTCGAGCGACCGATCCTTGTCCTCCCCAAAGAGTCTTTGCGCTTCCTTGATCTTGAATATGCGTTCCTGCAAATCATCTTCTGCGACAGCTTCTTCAAGGCTAAGCGTAGCGCCGTCTGTCCTTCTATCATCCTGGTAATAGAAGTCTCTCAGCAACTCTTGATCTTCGCTGCGAGCGTATACCTCGAGCAGATTTGCTGCAAGGTGTATGTGGTCGGTAGCGGATGGTGGTGGCTTGTTGGAAGCAACTGCCGCAGTCGTCGCTTCCGCTGCCGGGGCTTGCAGAATGCGGAAGAAGTCTCCGCGCGAAAGCTGCGATTTGAGTCTCAGAAGGACGTGGTAGACTGTCAAGTCGGAGAGTAGTGTCAGTGCGCTTTCAGCCTGGATGTCCTCATGCTGGACAGGCTCACCTAAGTCCGTGTCTCCGCTTTCGATGGCTTTGATCAGAGCCGCCTTGTCTTCTTGCATGTTGAGAAGGAGCGGCACTTGATCGACAGCTCGCGGCTCGTGGTCAAGGAGCTAAGGGTACGTGCGGGCGGCTCAGCTTGTGCTCCATGTGACAGAGTGCGAGAAGAGTTGAAGAACATCACGTACCTTGGTTGCGAGTCTAGTTCGACCTTGATCCCAAGCGGTCTGAGCAATCTCCGCATAGCTGACTGCAGGTTGCGACTCGAACTTCTCCACGATGGCTTTGCAAACCACATCGTCCACGGCCGAGAAAGCTTGATTCGCTATGGCTCCGACAGCAGGTCTTGTTCTCATGATCTTGGCTTGAGCCCAATGCTTGAGAACCGGATCCGGTCGAAGGTTCAGATGCTCCGACACACGAAGGCAGAGCAAGTGGTGATTGCGAGCTGTGAGACGAGCAATGAGAGCAGCGGCGCCTATTTGTTTGTATCTGCAGCCAAAATCGGAGTCGACTCAGCGGTGCGCTATGCGCTTTGAGATCGTTCGTGCGCTCACTCGTCATAAGAGATGGGCACCCCAATCTCGTGCCGCCGGGCCGCATTGAGAATACGCAATGCCTTCGCTAGCTTTACGAATGGCGCCGTATCGTACAGATCGACGAAGGCCTTCCCAAATGAAGCCGCCTGGACGAGTAAAGGTGGATAGAAAGGCTGACAAAGCTTAGTTTGCTCTTGAAAGACCCCATTTCGCTAGCTGTACCACTCACTCTAAGCAGCTTGCGTTGCCACGCAGGGTCCCACTCGTATGCCGCAGCTTCCACACAAGTATCGACAGCTTCCGCGAGTTGATTCTTGATGGCTCTAACACCTTCGTCCGCCTTTGCACTCTTCGCGGCAAAGTGCTCCGACGCATCAAATAGTAGCGCGGCAGGGTGAGTACTCCCAGGCTGAAAAACCGAAGACGTTGCCTCCGGTACTTTTTGCAGAAAGTCGTGCCTGTCGCTGCCTATGATGCGAATTGCGTCCGTCTCGGGTATCAGATGCACCGCGCCAGGATAAGGAAAGCTGTTGGAGAATCAACGTCAGAAGGATTGTCCCTTAGTGTCCGCACACATAGGCTCCCGTGAGATGCTCACCGCAGCACTTCCCCAAACGGTCCCACCATCACCACTTCCGATTCGGAACTGAGCACCACTGAGTTGTTGCCGCACCATCTCACATCTTCCACTCCCGTTCCTCCAAGTCCGTTGCCTTTGTTCGACTCAAAAGCTTCAGACGATCCAAGATCATACTCTGAAAGGCTGCGTTGCAAGTCAGAACTGACGACCCAGACCTTCTCGTCGTGCGTAAGCAGCGCTAACAGAGCTCCATTGGGACTTGGACGGATGGTGTGAAAAGGTCCACGAGTGAGACGAAGATCTGTACTGCCGCTCAGCGAGTCGAGGGAGAGCAGAGTGCCTCCTTGAGCGGATGATGTAGGTGACAAAAGCACCTCAACCAGGCCTGAGTTCGATACTGTGGAAGGTATGATGTCCCACGCGCCGACGCTTGTTTGGCTTTCCACAGTCATAGAAGTACTGACATCCTGGAAGTTTGTGCTCGTCTCGGACGGAATCGAGGGCAACAGGATGGGCGCTGGAATGGAAAGGGTGCGTTTGGACCAAGCACCTTCACTAGCTCCCTCTTTGAAGGGAAAGGACCATTCGACAAATCTCCCTGCTCTAGTCCTGATGACGAGTCCTTGAGACCACATTCGAGCATCTTCGATTCCAGTTTCCACCGCTTCCGTGCCTAGACTGTACTGCGTGTAGTAACAGCTGGCAGTCACCTCCGTTGGGGTTGGACCCGACGCGGAGGAGTAGGACTGGTTCTCGCTTCTTCTGTCAGTCTGAAGTGGACGCTTGTCTTGCGCTGGACAGGGCGAAAAGAAGGTGTACAGACGAGCTGCTCCTTCCTCCAGTACCACTATCAGCTGCTCATCCTCGGTGAATCCAAGCGCTACGATCCGGTCTGAGGCATTCCACTGTTCGACCGGTGTGGCTGCGAGTCAATTGCTGCGAGCGAGCACCAACGTCTCGACGACCAGCATCGATCGAGTACACTCACAGGAATGCTCTCTACCAATTGCCCTGCCGAGGTGTACACCTGAATTTTGGGTCTCAGGTTAGAAACCTTGCCTAATGCGACGAGCTTGGCAGGATCCCTGACCAGAGCCAACAGTCCTCCGTTTGGCGCAGCTGCCAGTTTGTAGTTGGACAGATCATCTATCGCCCAAGAGAGCGAGTAGACTTGATTGCGGCGGTAAAAGACGTCTTGCAGGGAATGCCACTCTTGCGTTGGGTGAGTGAGCGTCATGATGTTGAGCGCATGGCCGTGTCGAACGCTGCGCCTGTTGCGTGTGAGAGGACGTCGTGCAACGTCTGCTCGCAGGAGGACGACGTTGAGATTGCACCCGAAGGATGGGCTCACGGCGGCTGCCTCGATCTCGAATGGCTGCTTCGGCTCTATGAAGAGGTCAGAGACAATCTCCACTCCCTGAAGAGGTGAGCGTCATGATAGCAACGGCCATCAATTCAAAGATCGAGGCGGACTCCTGGCCGAGTGGGGTGCGCGTATGTGCACGGTGCATGCGGCGCACACGGGCACTTACAACTTGATTCGCGCGTCTGCTGCTATGGATATTCACGTGATTTTCGAAGTTGCGCTACTTCTTCTCTCCGCCGTTACCGGTACTCGTGACTGCAGACGCTACGTTCATCTCACGCGATCACCAATCCTACCTCCAATACAACACCATGACTTAGTTCAAGCCATTGGGGTTTCCAAACCGCACTCCGTGTGCCGTGCTTAGCCTGCAGCCAACGCTAGCAGACACGATGCCGCCCTCTCGCTCTCCCGTCGATGCGCGAAGATCTCGAGCTAACGAGGACCGCATGAGCACCTCTTCGCGCTCTCGCTCGCCCTCGTCTAGGAATGGAAGGCGGAGCATGTCCGCAGAGGATACTGGCAATCGGAGGCCACGCAGTTCAAGCTCGTACAGCAGGAGCGTCTCATCCAGAAGCAGAAGCAGGAGTCGGAGCAGAAGCCGAGATCCAGACCGCAAGCCTTCTGCGCAAAAAGCACCCTTCAGCAAGATCAAACTACCCGATCCCGGCGATGATGTGAGTCAGGCTCGCGAATACCAAGACCGCATGTATACTACCACGACTGCTGATCGCGCGACACCCGATCTGCTCAGGCTACCCCATTCGTGCTGCGTGTACACGCCAGACAGGGTCCCTTCAGACCACTTAAAGATTTCGATCACGGTCGCAGGGACGCTCCTCAGGTCAAGAACAACGAGTTCAAGCTCTATGTCTGGTGAGCTGCGGTCTAGACGCTGATCAAATCGCAGTGGTCGCAGAGTGTGGCGCTTGCATCTTGACGAGACTCTTCCCTTTCTGATCTCGCTCCTCCAGGCGAACGGCTAATCTGCGAGATGTTGCAGCTCTGTTACACCTAGCACAGCCAAACATCTCCAATCCAACGACGCATCATGCATTCCGACTCGTATACTTCGACTCGCGGCGGTCCGAGATGGCAGCTCGAGAAATTGCAGCGCACGTCACCCGGGTCGATCCTCTGCAATCTGTAGATCAAGGGCTACTACCATCGGCCATTTCCGACAAGTTGGTCAAAAAAAAAGACGCTATCTCGAATGAAAGAGCGGCAAAGACGACATTACAAGATATCAACGTGGTCGATGGGGACATCATCGACGTCAGTCTGACCAACCCATCGCACGCTTCTGGCGGAGCTGGGCGAAGCGCTAGGGAAATCAGTATACGTGGAGGCGCCAGCATGGGGAGGAGAGGGATCGAAGCCAGACCGCAGCGTGGTCCGCCTGCTCTTGCAGATGTGCCCTCGGCTCTCCTAGGTGCCGCTCATCCTTGGGGGCCTGCACCGGGCGAGTCCCAGAGAAGAGGAGGCGTTCGACCGCAAGCGCCACGATTGGAGCCTGCCCCTCCACCTCGTGGTCCTGCTGTTCACCCTTCCCGCCTGGCTGCTACAGGCCCGTCCAGAGATCTCGCCGCACGGAGTGCAGATCGTCGCGATTTTCATGAGCGAGCAGATGAACAACGCAGAGGCTCGTACAGAAGAGATGACAACGAGAGAAGAGCTTATACAGCGATCGGAGATGCCGGAGAAAGGAGAAGATCGTATGCGCGGGAAGAGGAAGAAGCGCGCTATCCTGTTTCTAGAGGCCACGATAGATACGAAGGTAGGAAAGGTAATTCATCTCACAGAAGCCATGATCGCAACGTGAGCCCGCCTTATAGATCTCGTAGATCCAGAAGCCGAAGTCCGGTCAGGCGGCCACCTAGAACTGTCAGCAAAAGCAGAAGTCGTAGTCCTCCAAGGCGTTCCAGCAGGCACTGAGCGAGCTGTACACCAGACGCACTTCTGGTCCATCGATGACTTCACGCATGTCCACAACGCTCATTTGCCCACGTCGCCTGGTCAAAGTGCCAGTCTGAAGCGCGCATAGAACGTCGAACGATCTACGAGCCTGCCTGTCTCGCAGCACGCGCTGTCTGAGCCGTCGGACAGAGCAGTCGGACACTCTAGCACAGATGTAATCACTTGGGAATGACACAGGCACTAGACGATAACGCATTCTTGAGTGTATCTGTGCGTGAGCACGTATTCGTGATTGCGAAGAGAGAGTGTCCGTGAGAAGAGGGACTGAGACGAGAGAGCTTGTAGCGCGATGTGCCGTCGTTTCGGTACTTGTACGTTTGTCCGGTCCGACGAGAAGTGCATAGAAGCCAATGCGCCTCCTTGCACAAATCTTGGAATCGATGTGCAACATTCGCGATTGCGATTGCGAATGTCTAGCCTTCAAAGTCGGTAAGTTGGTGCGAGTGGTGGTACAGTATAGGCGGCGAGACCCTTTTGAAGTTCGTGAATTGAATCTTGAACAGTCAAGGGAGGCCAGCGTTACTACTACTACTGTAATTGCAGTCAGCATTCAATTTCTGCTCGATCTTCCTGTTCGCGCAATCGTGAATGGGCTTGGAGCGTTGGCGTAGCCAGCAACGTCACGCTGCATAAGTCCCCGCGTTTGCGATTGCCGAGTTTATTGCCGAAGAGGGAGGGATTCGGCAGAGGTTGCCCTCCCCGCACAATCGCAATCGCCGATCATTGAATGTGAACAGTAATCTTGAATTGGAATGAAATCACACTCACAAGCTCGATTCGGGGTTCAAGCAAGGTACAGTTCAATTCCCACGCTTTTCTGCGATCCAGCACTCGTGACTCTTGACTCCAGTTGTGGGGTTGATGCCCGTTCGGAAAGTGGAGAGCAGAGGGTGCAGCGGTAGAGTGTTATCAGCTCGGTGATTTGAGGCCTGCGACCAGCAAGATCCTGGTCTGGATGCAGGCATTCAAAGATGCCGAGGCGTGCGGGCGACTTTGACGACCTAACGTGCTCGCCAATCAGAAGTCATGACAGAGCCTTCACCGAAGAGTGCAAGGCAAGGCTCTCTCTCGGGTCTGCCGTTGCCAAGTTTTGGAAAGTCTGATGAGTGTAACAAAACGCAAGCAGAAGAGGAGCTCACCTCGGTCTGAGTGCAGCATGCGCTCGCTTCGCTGCATGGGCACTTCAGCTCGGCAACGTTTGAGACCACAGCCTTGCCGCATTCAGTCAAGAAAGAGCAGCCCGCGATGCGTTCGTTCATCGGTCCAACAGGCAGCATCGAGAGCCGAGCGGGGATCAGACAGAGCGAGTTCGAGTGGAGTGTCAGTCAGTCAGTCATACGAACAACTTCAATGTAGAGCAACGCGAGGGGACCAGCTTTTTGCGGATGGTGCCATGTGAGAGCTTTGCTTTCGATGCACACGCCTCTACCGAACCATCATCCCCCTGGCTTCTCAAGAATTGTGTCACTCCAACCAATCAATCTCAATCTGCTGAAATTTCCGCTACCTCAAGATGAACCACTCTTTTCTCGCCTTACTCTCCGTGGCTATTCAAGCACTGCTCTTGAGTGGCCTATGCGATGCTCAAGGCTCTTCGACCGCAGGTGTTCCCAACACCCCAAATGGTGAGGTGTAGCGTACCAGAGCGCAAGGGCACTTTCCGAGCGTAAAGCTGTAGCCCCATTGTCGCAGCATCCAAACGTCCGCTAGTTTAAAGCTGTTTACTGACTATCTCAACTCCAAACCCACCACGAATAGAAAATCCCACCTTCACGGTAGCGCCCACCACATCCACAGCGCAGATCACGCCGCTAGGAACCAGTTCTAGTGGTAAGTCCTTCCATCGAGGATCAGAAATATCCCCCCCGGGCACATGGTACAGCATCTCCATGCTCAGCTCCACACATTCACATTTGCACATCATCCCTCTCACCCAATCCCGCAGTCACAGCAGCGACGGTGCCCTCTTCGCTAAGCGGAGCAGCCTTATCCTCCTATCTAGCGTCGCTCAGTACCAACTCGGCGCAAGGAGCGGGCAGCACGAGCACGGGAGCGTCGATCAGCGGCATAGGCGGCGGGCCACCCGGAGGGTACGATAGCGCCATTTCTTCCATCATGCAACAGAGCACCTCCAGCACAAGTGCGCCTGCACAGAGCAGCCCTGCGACGTCCAGCGCAAGTCCCGATGCAGCCACTTGGTCCGCCAGATCGCCCGCCAGCGCCGCTTGCTTGGCCATCGCTATCATCTCTTGTGGCTTGGGCGCTTTGCTCGTTGTGGCTTAACATTCCAGCTCGCAGCTTCACCGTCGTTCTGTCACAAGATGGACACTCTTCGAACCCATACTAACCTGTCAACTTCTGAAATGCATGCTACGCGTCGCTAGACATGAAAACGCACACCAGCGCGGAGGCCCCCTTCGACAAAGCGATCTCGTGAGGGAAACCGGATTCTCATTCGTGAGCGTGAGAAAAGTGGCTGGGTGGAAGGGTAAAAGGGTCCCACGACACCGTCATGAGAATTAAAAGACAGGTGCAGATGGGAGGGAGGGAGCGCTTCTCTGAAGCAGCACGTCTAGTACTCCTCAGCCTCAAGCTCGTCGGCCTCGCCAGCAGTGTCCATGCCGACCTCCTCGTAGTCCTTCTCGAGGGCAGCAAGGTCCTCGCGGGCCTCGGAGAATTCACCTTCCTCCATACCCTCACCGACGTACCAGTGCACGAAGGCGCGCTTGCTGTAAAGCAAGTCGAACTTGCGGTCCAGACGGCTCCAAGCAGCAGCGATGGCGGTGGTGTTGGCAAGCATGCACAGACTGCGGCTGACCTTGGCCAAGTCACCTCCGGGAACGAGAGAAGGTGGCTCGTTGCAGATGCCGATCTTGAATCCGGTGGGGCACCAGTCGACGAACTGAATGGTGCGCTTGGTCTTGATGGCTGCGACGGCCGTGTTGACATCCTTGGGAACGACGTCACCACGGTAGAGCAGGCAGCAGGCCATGAACTTGCCGTCACGAGGGTCGCACTTGACCATCTGGTTGCCCTTCTCGAAAGAGCTGAAGGTCATCTCAGAAACACTGTTCTGCTCGTGGAAAGCCTTCTCAGCGCTGATGATGGGAGCGTAGGTAGCCAGAGGGAAGTGGATACGAGGGTAAGGCACCAAGTTGGTTTGGAACTCGTTCAGGTCGACGTTGAGGGATCCATCGAAACGAAGGGAGGCCGTGATGCTGCTGACCACCTGGGCAATGAGCCTGTTGAGGTTCGAGTATCCGGGGGCTTGAATACCGAGGTTACGCTTGCAAATGTCGTAGATGGCCTCGTTGTCGACCATGAACGAGCAGTCACTGTTCTCAAGGGTGGTGTGGGTGGTCAGGACAGAGTTGTAAGGCTCAACAACGGAGCTGCTCATCATGGGAGCAGGGTAGATGCTGAACTCCAGCTTGGCCTTCTTGCCGTAGTCCTGAGCGAGACGCTCGAGGAGCAGAGATCCGAAACCGGAACCTGTTCCACCACCGAAGGAGTGGAAGACGAAGAAGCCCTGCAGACCAGAGCAAGCATCGGCGAGCTTGCGCACGCGGTCAAGAGTCTGATCGATGAGCTCTTTTCCGACGGTGTAGTGACCACGAGCGTAGTTGTTGGCGGCATCTTCCTTACCAGTGACGAGGGTCTCTGGGTGGAACAGGTTGCGGTAGGTACCGTTGCGGACCTCGTCGATGACGTTGGGCTCCAAGTCCACGTAGATGGAGCGAGGAACGTACTGCAAAGTGAGGGCGTCGTCGTTTCGATCAGAATGGCCGGTGCGGTCTGTCATCGTCAGCAAAAGCTTGCACTCACCTTGCCGCTTCCAGTCTCGCTGAAGAAGGTGGAGAAGCCATCATCGTTCTCGGAAGGAGAGCCCTCGGTGACGCGACCATCGGGGGTAAGACCGTGCTCGTTGAGGTAGAGCTGGTGATTGGTAGGCAGACGCGTTGATCAGCAACGCTTGGGTTGAAGATTGTTCGGGAAGTGCATTGCCTGTGACTCACCTCCCAGTTTGCGTTACCGAGCTGAACACCAGCTTGGCCGACGTGGAGAGACAGAACCTGAAAACGGGAATTGGCGCACATCAGCTTGGTGCTCCGCACGCCAGAGATGCCGACTGAGAGGATGTCCCCACACAAGGAATCGCTACTCACTTCACGCATATTGAAAGATGGGCGATTTGAGGTGAGGTGATTTGAGTGTTGTACGTGTGTGCAGAGAAGACGCTCAGAAGTAACGTAGAGCGAAGAGTGAGTTTGGAGAGATCAGAGTTGAAAGGAAGGAGTGGGAGCGACTTGCGCGTTGTGAGGCCGCGCTCAACGCCCGACCGACGACTTTCGGCAGAGGCGAGCGAGGCGCTTTGGACAAGCTGCTAAGGGCTGCTGCCCGTTGTTGGGCTCGCACCTGCTGATGTCTGTCAATCTCTCATCCACTCGATTTCTGCCCAACCGCATCCTCACAGCCGTCGTGCCTTGTGATCCTGTACTGCACTCGCACGCGTCCATCAGCACTTCTCTGACTCTAGCGCACGCGCGTGCATTCCTTGATTCACGCAGCGCACCAAGAGTGTTCAGGCGCGCTCTTCTTCTGCTGTGAGGCGTTGTGTTGTGAACGCACACACGCGTGCTCGCCGCGCCGGATCTCAAGAGTTGATTGCCCTCGAATAAACGCGTGGCGATGGTGGTCGATGCCGATCACGTGTCTGATTTCTGTGCACGCAATCAGGATGCACCAAGAGCAGAGGCCTGCTCTTGTCCCTCCATCCAGCAGCAGCGCGCTCTCGCGCTTGCGCTCCATGCTGCTGCTGCTGCTGCTGCTGCTGCTGCATGCATGCAAGAAGAAAAGTCAAGTCCAGGCCGCGAGCGGCGACTGCGACGCTTGCACGGCTTGCGGGCACCTACCTGCAAGCCTGATGCTGCAAAGGAGCGGCAAAAATCAAGGCTGGCTGTCCGTATAGCTGCGACCCCGCTCTGGTCACGAGTCATGAGTGACCGCCGCGGGTCTTCGAGTCAGAGCCGACCGCGACCGCATTCACGCTCCACGTTCTGATGGTGTGGCTATCGAATAGGGCTCGAGCACCTTCCCAAGTCACTCTTTTCCAACTTGCCACACGCATTCTATCCCCACAGTTATTACGTTCACACCACGTACCCAGTACTCACACCATTCCAGTCGACTCTTGCCTTCGTCAACACACTTCTGCTAGAGCAAGGCTTTGCTTGCCTCAATAAGATGGTTATGTCCATGCGCCTTGCGCGCTCTGCCACAGCAGCCACATCGAGTGTAGGCCGCTCCTCGTCATGCAAAGGTGCTCGAGTGCTAAGCACTTCATGTGCCAGAGCCATCAACACACCCGCAACAGAGTCTACGAGAGCAGCAGGGATCGCCTCAAGGCAGTCTCAGATCAGATCCATCTCTTCTACGCCCTCCAACGATGTCTCAGCCACTCCCCTCGCCAACCCTAAGGGCGCAGAGTGAGTCACCTTTGCCATCGCTCTTGCTTGCACCCAGTCGGATCTTGCTGATCATCTCTCCTCTCGTGTGCTGTTTCAACGTCAAAGGCGACCTGAGCCAGCAAGCACTTTCCAGCAGTCGCCAGAGCCATCTCCCATCCCAATCAGGTCAGCCGACCTGGATCACTCCTTTGTTGGCATGTCCGGAGGAGAAATCTTTCACGAAATGATGCTCAGGCATCAGGTCAAGCACGTCTTTGGGTACCCGGGTGGCGCAATTTTGCCAGTCTTTGACGCCATTCACAACTCCAAGCACTTCCAATTTATCCTACCCAGGCGAGAAGATGGTGCCGGACACATGGCCGAAGGCTACGCTCGTGTAACCGGTAAGCCAGGTGTCGTGCTTGTCACTTCTGGTCCAGGCGCCACAAATGTCATCACCCCAATGCAAGACGCTATGAGCGATGGTACACCTCTCGTCGTCTTTTGCGGCCAGGTAGCCACCAGCGCCATTGGCAGCGACGCCTTTCAGGAAGCAGACGTTGTCGGTATTTCACGCAGCTGCACAAAGTGGAACGTCATGGTCAAGAATATTGCCGAGCTGCCTCGCCGCATCAACGAAGCCTTCAAGATTGCCACATCAGGCAGACCAGGACCTGTGCTCGTCGACCTGCCCAAGGACGTCACTGCCGGTATCCTAAGACAAGCCCTACCTTATTCGCAGACGCACCCTTCTCTAGCCGCCTTGCCGTCCAGAGCTACAGCCAGATCTTCTCGCAGCAGAGCGATCCGTCACCAATCGCAGCCAGCTGGGCCCGGAAGCCTGCCCGATGAGGCCCCCGAAATCGCAGAGGCAGCGCGTCTCATCAATGGTGCCAAGCGCCCAGTGATTTACGCTGGCGCTGGAATGCTCTCGACTCCCCAAGGCCCAGAGCTACTCAAGGAACTCTCCGAGCGTGCAGGTATTCCAGTAACCACCACCCTCCAAGGTCTTGGTGCCTTTGACGAGCTCCACCCGCTTTCTCTGCATATGCTTGGCATGCACGGATCGGCGTACGCCAACCTGGCGATGCAGGAGGCAGATGTCATTATCGCGCTTGGTGCACGCTTTGATGACCGCGTCACTGGTCGTGTGGACAAATTTGCGCCTCAAGCTCGCGCAGCAGCCCTGGAAGGTCGCGGGGGTATCATTCACTTCGAGATCATGCCAAAGAATATCAACAAGGTGGTACAAGCTACTTGCGCACTGGAGGGAGATGTCATTGCCAATTTGGCCAAGGTCCTGCCTCAGGTCGAGCAGAAGACACATCCCAAGTGGCACGCACGTATCGCGGACTGGAAGCAGCGTTTCCCGTTCACGTACTACCCGTCTGATCCATCCAAGGGCGAGTTCCCCAAGCCTCAGGAGGTGATTGAAGAGCTGGACAGGGCTATCGAGCCTCGCAAGGAAAAGACCATCATCTCGACCGGAGTCGGACAGCACCAAATGTGGGCGGCTCAGCACATCCGATGGAGGCATCCCCGCTCTTGGGTCTCATCTGGTGGTCTCGGAACGATGGGCTTCGGCGTTCCCTCATCTGTCGGAGCCAAGGTAGCCAGACCAGACTGCACTGTAGTGTGCGTGGATGGAGATGCCAGCTTTAGCATGACAGCTATGGAGCTTGCTACAGCCAACGAATTCAACGTGGGCGTCAAAATCCTGGTGCTCAACAACGAATTTCAAGGAATGGTGCTGCAATGGCAAGATCTCTTTTACGAGCAGCGCTACTCTGGAACGAGGATGACCAACCCGGACTTCTGCAAACTGGCCTCGGCTATGGGTTGCCACACTATCCACTGCGACTCGCTCACCGACCTGCCGGCCAAGATGAAGGAGTTCATCGAGTACGATAATGATAGACCGGTCCTGTTCGAGTGCCGCGTCGTCACTGCCGAGCATTGCTACCCTATGATCGCCGCCGGCTCCGCGTTGCACGAGATGACGATGCACCCGAGCCTCGTCGAGTAAGTGTCGAAATCTCATCTCTTCACGCCGCTACTGGCTTCCGCTGATCTTTTCCTTCTCTGTTCTCTTCGCAACCACTCAGGGGCTTCAAATCCATCAAGCCGGCAAACGCCTAATCGCTTGCCAGCTTTACCTTCAAAAGCGCCCCTGAAGACCCGACGCATCATCCTGCCGCCGACGTCCTCTGCGCCCTTCGACTCACTGTCCCCATGATCTGTCTTATTCGTTCGTCCTACATGTCATCCTGTCTCGCGCACTCGAATGCCTCTTCTCATCTAATGAAATAGCAGCTATCGAGCGAAACTTTCGTGGGCTTGGACTGCCTTTACGTCTCAAGAGGCCTGATTGTTCATGATCCTGCACAGCACGTTCGAGCTGATGTGCAGCGAGAGCTTCTTGGCCATACATGTATGGCAATATGTTCTCCACATGCCGGGTCTGGGGCAAAGTGCTGATGTCGCACTCGAGGGATTTGTAAGCAACAAGGCCTCGTGACTTCCGAGGGAAGAAGGAAAAAAAACACGCCCCCTCGCCCTTCAATTGTTCCTCCTAGCCTCCTTCTCTGCCCTCTTTCTAGCTTCCTTCTGCATTACCAAGCCCACAAAACTTCCTACGCCCGCCAACCCCAAGACCAAGATGAGGGCTGGAAGTCTGATTGCCCAGACTCGATCTGGAAAGATTTGTTGCAGAGGTGAAGAGGATGGAAAGAAGGGCTGTTCGAATTCGAATTCGAATTTGAGGAGTGCGGAGTGCGGAGTGCGGAGTGAGGAGTGAGGAGTGCGAAGTGAGGAGTGAGGTCAGCCCGCATGAACTTGAAGAGAGAGAGAGAGAGAGCAATTGAACGCGAGGCAGACGCACCACGATGAATGTCCAGATGGTGTAGTATGCAAAGACGAGACCTGCGATGAGCAGCAGCAAACCGCCCAACAGTCGATCCGAAGCAGCCTGGAGAACGTGGGGGGGTGGAGAGAAAAAGGAATGCCAATAAGCTCCAAATTAAACAAAGGAAAAAAAGGGACCTAGACTAGCTCGCCCTCATCGATCAAGCTTGAGCTCCAGAGCTCCACCTAGGCAGCTAGCTCATTCCTCCAGCACACAAACACTTACCATGATGGCAAAGAGGGAGTGGTTGCGCAGAAATGCTTTCTTGGTGAAAGTTGTAGGTGCGGTGTATTACCCCCACTCGACCGCCTGATCCCTTGCTCTCAAACCGACACGTCGAGGCCAAGGATCCGTCCGGCACCGGCGCAGCTGGGATCTGGCGTGTCTGATCACGCTCCCGTGCAAGCGGAGCGCTGCGTATCGATCTCGGCTTCACAGCGACGATTGCGATCCACCCACAGGGAGAGGGGCCGCGCTAATGGGGTCAAGAGGCGAACTGGAAAGAATGTGACTTGGGCACCAGATCTGAATGCGGAAGCTGCTAGGCGATGCTGTTTTGACGTAAGTTTGGTGAAAGCGCCGAATGGAGGCCAGACTTGTCTGACTTGATAGCCTTGAATGCAGATCAAAGTGAATGTGGATGGATGGGATGCATGGCTTGAATGTTTGAAGCAAGCGATGAAGTCGTGAGTGTTGACGACGTCCTTGACAGCAACACGGCTCGGCTCGCTTGTTGCTTTGTGCACTCGACACATCCAGCCGCATCGTCTGTGCGCACATCAGACGGCCTGCCTGCCTGCTGCGTCGCGCAACATGTTGCACAAGTTCTCACGCCTCTCCGTGCATCCATCCACTCTTCCAACCGGGCCGGGCCTGCAAGCATCACCTTCGACCTCAGACGCTGCCTCGATCGACTCGACGTTTGCAGCATCTCACCTCATCTCATCATCGCACTCAACTTGGACTACGCGTCCCGTCCCGATCAAGAACAAGCACAACAGGCAGATCATCAACGCTCACACAAAACACACCCACGACTCAAAGCTTGCCAGAGAGTATGCGGCCTTCAGATTAGAATATTCTCGAATAAATTCGGCCGGGCCAAAAGAAAGAAATTTCTTCTCGCGTCAAGGCGAGAAGAATGCGGTGGGCGTCTCAAGGCGGAAGTGTAGAGCGCAAGGACACCCGTGGCGAGCAGCGGCAAGCCGCACAACTCGACCCCTCGAAGCAAAGAGAGGGTTAACGATTAAATACCACGGAGGGTATGTTACAGTCGTTAAACTATAAAGAACAGATACTACACTTGATCTAAGCCAATACTGTAGCGGGGAGAGGGGAAGAGCTGAAAATTAGCGATCGGCTCGGCAACTGATCCAGCAAATCTTAGGGGTGCAGTACTCACGGCCAGAAAAGGTGAGGAGGTAAGAAGGGCATGCGCGATTTGCTCCCCTTCTTATACCTTTGCAGGGGCGCCTTTCGAACGCGTCGCAAATGCGCTCGCCGCGAAAAATTCTGCGTGTGAGCAAGAATGCAGGCGCGTCTTGCGCGTTCGCAGCATAGACCGAGAGCCACGTGTCGCTGGTTACGCAGCGCAGACGCCCCATGTGCTGCGCACCGACCGCCCCCTCTCGAGTACAAATAGCCAACTTCGCGTCGCAACCTGCTTTTGAAAGGCTCTCTTTATCCTTTTGCAAGGGCAGGTGTACAAGACAGTGAGGTCCTTACCGAGTCTGTACTATTTGCTTGGTCGAGAACAACCAACCATAACGTGCCCTCTGTCCTTTGTGACGTTGGCCACTTTTTTCCTCACCACTATCATCCGCTCGACTCCCGCACTTCGGTCTTACCCTCTGGGCGATCGCGGGCGGCGACGAGCGGAGCGGGCGCGTCGCGTCAGCGAAGCATCCCCTTCTCCCTCTCTCTCTTTTCTTCTCGAAAGCTAGCCCTCGCAAAGTGCCATTTAATCTTATGACTTGTCCTTTTGCTCGTAGTGTGTTAGGATTTTTGTGAATGACTTCCGGTGTTTTGTGTTGGCGTCGGTGAGCAAATCACTCATTGCAGCGCAAAGCGGTGCTGTGAGTGAATGGCGGGACGGGGTCTTGAATGGCCTCAATGAGCTCGTAATTGATGTATTCAGATTGATTGCCGCCCGTGCACTCGCAGCAGGCCGACTATGACTCACTGGACTTGATTTCTATTCGCCCAACACGTCAAATCGACATTGAGAAATGTTGATGAGGCGGTGCGGTGCATGGGACTGTAAAATCTTTTTGCTGCATGGCCTCCATCCATCCGATCCGTTCAACAAGCGTGCTCCTTGCTTCTTCACTCGAAGCGCATTCACGAAGCAAATTCAGCTCACAAGGCTCGCAAGGCAAAACTCTCTTGACGCACCTTGATCAATACAGTAGCGGATTCATCAGAAGGGGCGGGCGCACTCGAGCTCTGATGTAAGGAAATTCTTCCCTGACACACAAAAGATTACGATCGATCCAAAGAGCAGGCCAATATGGTGGGGGAAGGTGATATGTCGAACGATTCGGGTCAAGCGGTGGAGCAAGTGTTGCGGAACGGGATAGCTCCGCTGAACCTGAGCCAAGCTGGTCCTTCTCGTGGCACTTCATCCTCCTTGGACGCCACATCCTCCTTGGACGCCACATCCTCTACTACGCGCACAAGCACGAGCGCGACCTCAGGTCCATCAACTCCTGCCAAGCCCAAATTAACGATGGATGAGATCACATCTCGAGATAGGAGGGCCGCTTCTGCGGCTGCAATAGCCAATTTTGAGAATGTAGAAGATGTTCTGTGTCAAAACAGAAGGACCATTTCGGATTTCTTGAGAAAGAAGATCGAAGAAGATGCTGCCAAGGTGAGTGAATCGAGTCAAGCACAGACTATCCAGTTGCATCATTGAATGCGTCAGGCAGTCGACTGAGCTCGAAGCGACGTTCAACAAATGAAGTCGAGCTCACCCACGCTCTCTTTATTCCTCCTCGCTCACACGCTTGGATGCAGAATTGGGACAAGTTCTACAAAGCCAACGAAAGTGATTGGGACTTGCTTGTAGCTCGGGCCAAAATCATTCTTCATCTGACGTGTTCCTTCGTCGCATTGTCCGTCCCTCAGATCGGTTCTTCAAAAACAAGAATTGGACGGGCGAGTCATGCTATTTCGACGCCTCGCACACCCTCGAGGTGACAACGCAACCGAAGCTTACACTGGCTGCTCTGTATCGCGCCTTTTCTTGTGTATGTAGATAGAGAATTCGCCGAGTTGCGAGCTCAGGATCAGAAGAAACAGATCGGCGGCCCTACTGTAGATTGCGACAAGAATGCGGCTGGAGATGCTTCAGATGAAGCTTCTTCCAACGCTGCGGTGCAGACTGAGCTTGAGCAAGCCACCTCGTCCACTCAAGAGGTCATACTACTGGAGGTGAGGTGGGCGGATGGTTGAGCATCGCACAAGCGGTAATTTGTCACTTGTCCTCACCTGATCCTGCTCTTCTTTTCTTTCACCGGGTTCTGTACATCCTCGCATACACAGGTGGGCTGCGGTCCTGGGAACATGCTCTATCCGGCTCTGGCCAACAACGCATCACTCAAGGCGCACGCCTGCGATTTCTCAACCCGAGCCATCGATCTCGTCACGGTACGTCTGATCGCTCGCTCGACTGTGCAACTTCGAGCGATCCTCTTCTGCACAAGATACGTCGCATGGCTGACCCTCTCTGCCATTGGCGCTCATGCGACTTGACCCAACGATGCCAATCACGCAGGCTCACCCTCAATACGACACGGCACGAATCAATGCCTTTACGTACGACTTGACAAGCAACCAAGCTCTCTTGCCTCAACTCCAATCGCACCCTTTCGGTCGACCGAACGTCATTTCCCTGATCTTTGTCCTCTCGGCCATCCCACCTTCCCTTCATGCCCAAGTCCTACAGAATCTAGCCGAGGTGCTGCCCGAAGGCGGATCGCTGGTCTTTAGAGACTTTGCGTTTGGAGATTTGACGCAGCTGAGGTATCATTGGAGAAAGGATAGGAGCTGGGTGGAGCCTAGCTGCGTCATCGTGCCGGACTTGATTGGTGAGGATGCAGAGGAAGGGCAAGAGAAAGCTTGTGGAGGATTGTACAGACGCGGTGAGTATCGGCGATCTTTGGAGCGAGCCCCCTTCTTGACCGTCGATGTCGCTTGCAGCTTTTTGAG